GGAGGCTCCTCCGGGACATCCCGGCCCGCGGAATCCACAGCCTGCGCTTGGCATCCGTCACCGGAGCTGTCCCTGGAGCCGTCACCGGAGCCGCCGCCGGAGCCGCCCCGGGAGGGCTCGGCATCGGCGGGATCGTCCGCGCCTACCTGGAGCAGGTGAGGGGACACGGGGACACGGGGCCATGGAATGTTGGGGACAGGGATTGTTGGGGACACTGGGGATATGGATTTTGGGGACAGTGGGACAGAGGGGACGTGGAATGTTGGGGACAGGAGACAGAGGGGACGTGGGGACACTGGGGACATGGAATGTTGGGGACATGGAATGTTGGGGACAGTGGGACAGAGGGGACATGGGGACACTGGGGACACAGAATGTTGGGGACGTGGAATGTTGGGGACATTGGGGACAAGGAATGTTGGGGACAGTGGGACAGAGGGGACGTGGAATGTTGGGGACATGGAATGTTGGGGACACTGGGACAGAGGGGATATGAGGGATGTTGGGGATGTGGAATGTTGGGGACACTGGGACATGGAGTTTTGGGGACACTGGGACAGAGGGGACATGGAATGTTGGGGACGTGGATTGTTGGGGACAGTGGGGGCATGGAATTTTGGGGACAGTGGGACAGAGGGGATGTGGAATGTTGGGGACAGAGGGGACACAGGGGACACTGGGGATAGAGGAGACATGGAATGTTGGGGATATGGAATGTTGGGGACACTGGGACAGGGGGGACGTGGGGACATTGGGGATATGGAATGTTGGGGACGCTGGGACAGGGGGACATGGAATGTTGGGGACACTGGGATAGAGAGGACATGGAATGTTGGGGACATGGAATGTTGGGGACGTGGAATGTTGGGGACAGGAGACAGAGGGGACATGGGGACACTGGGGACATGGAATGTTGGGGACATGGAATGTTGGGGACATGGAATGTTGGGGACAGTGGGACAGAGGGGACATGGAATGTTGGGGCACTGGGACAGAGGGGATGTGAGGGATGTTGGGGACATGGAATGTTGGGGACACTGGGACAGAGGGGACGTGGGGACACTGGGGACATGGAATGTTGGGGACATGGAATGTTGGGGACA